GCCACTCTATTTTGGTCTCTAGGGATATGGATCCATTCTATCTGTTGGAAAGCCCAGCCCATCTCCTTAATTTCTTGTGTTATTTGGCCCACTTCAACATGGGAGATTGCCTGGCCTGTGATGAGGCGCTCCACCTGCTGGCAATCCGTCTGTATTGCAATGGAATTCAATTGAAGCCGGTGAGCCATTACCAGACCAAATTTCACCGCCATCACCTCTGCTTCCAACGCCTCCCACTGCCTCCGCGTTCTCCTCACCGCCGCCGCCACAAAACCGCCATCCTTCTTTCTAATTACGACTCCCAGCCCCGTTCCCTGTTCATTCAAGCATCCCGCGTCCACCAAGAATGTAAATTCCGTCGACTGAGATGGTCTCCATTTCCCTCCACCTTGGCAATTGGCTTCAGATCCCACCTCCTGCATGTCCAGGTATTCTTGCAACCACCCTAAAGCTCTGGGTATTATTTCCCCTTCTTCCAATTTCCTCTTATTCAACAGCTGACTATTGCGTTGTTCCCAGATAAGCCACAATGCGACGAAGAATTTCCCCAACTGTTCATCGTCCTCCGTCTCTTGCAGGTTGCAATACCATTCTTCACAGCTAAGAGTCTCCCCCCTTTCGAACAATAGATTCATAGGAGTAGGCCTAGTTACCCTCCTCACCCACGCACAGACCTTGAAAATGTGGTATTGAGTTTCAGGGAGATCGCAGAATGGGCATCCTGCATGACCCCTTTGCGTTCTTTCCACAATTCTAGCTTTCGTAGGCAAGATATCCCTGATCCATCTCCACGCAAACAATCTCACCTTAGGTGGTATCTTAAGCTTCCATAACCTTTCCCAGTTTACAGGTGTGTATAATTCACCATACTCCTCCTCGTTTCTGTTCTTCCACAACCTGTATGCTGATCTCACAGAGTAAGTCCCTGTAGTCTCCATTGTCCAAACCTTCTCATCCTTGCAAGGTTGCCTAGGGATTAATTTTTTTTCTATCTCTTTTCGGTCTGCAATGTTGAAATAGGCATGCAATAAGTCAGGTTTCCAGGTTCTTGTCTCCGGGTCTATCAGCTCAGCCACCGACGTTGTATCCCCAATTCTCGATACTGGAGATGTTACTCTAAATCCTTCACTGTTGGGAATCCACCAATCCAGCCAAATGTCAACACTTTCCCCATTCCCCACCCTCCATCGATAGCCCTTCTTGACTAGATCTTTAGTTTCCTTCAATCCCTTCCAAACAAACCGGGAGTTCCATCCTTTTTCAGCTTCCAACACATTCCTGGTGGGATAATACTTCGCTTTCAACACTCTTGCTGCTAGTGACTTAGGTTCCTTTATTAGTCTCCATAGTTGTTTGCCTAGGAGAGCTATATTAAAACACTTAAGATCTCGAAATCCTAAGTCGCCCTGCTTCTTAGATCTGCTCAGCTCCTCCCACCTTAACCAGTGGGTTTTCTTCTCTTCTTGATGTTGTCCCCCCCCCCCCCCCCCATAAATTGGTGATCAGTTTCTGGATCTCCTTTATAGTGGCCATAGGGATTGAAAAGATCGACATTGCATAAGTCATCTGCGATTGAACCACGGCCTTAATCAACACTTCCTTCTCTGCAATAGATAAAAGCTTACTTTTTCAGTGTTTCACCTTGTTCCTCACTCGATCAACCAGATAACCAAAAATTGCTCTTTTTCTCTTCCCACTTTAGTTGGGAGCCCCAAATATTTCTCATGAAACTCCACCCTCTTCATGCCAAGTATCCCTGCTAAGTCCTCCCTTCTACTTGCCTCAATGTTTGGGCTAAAATATTTACCAGATTAACTTGTTGACCCGACTCTATCTCATAGAGGTTTAGTATCCTTTTCAGTTGATTACTCTCCTGTCTAGTTGTTGTGGTAAACAGAATACTATCATCCACAAAAAGTAAGTGGGAGATACTAGGTGCTCCATGCTTAACTTTAATCCATGTTATCTTCTTCTCCCTTTCTGCCAAAGAAATCAACCCTGACAGCCCTTCTACCACTAGGAGAAAGAGATATGGGGATATAGGATCCCCTTGTCTCAATCCCCTTGTTGGTTTAAACCATTCTGTCTTGTGACCATTTACTAGTAGACTAAAAGATACTGTGGACACACACTCCATAATCAAGTGAACCCAACGATCATTGAACCCCAGCTTTATCATGATAGCCTCCAAGAAACTCCAATCCACTCGATCATAAGCCTTAGTAATGTCCAGTTTTGCTGCCATCTACCCACTCTTTCCTTTTCTTCTGTTGCATTGTATGAAAACACTCAAATGCCACAATAATGTTATCTGTAATTAATCTCCCTTGTACAAAGGCACTTTGATTAGCCACAATAATCTCGGGAAGAATTCCCTTTAACCTATTGGCCAAAACTTTAGACAGAATCTTGTAAAGAAATCTGCACAGACTTATAGGACGGAAATCAGTGGGGCTTCCAGGGGATTTCTTCTTAGGGATTAGTGCAATTAAGGTCTGGTTGAGCTCCTCTGGAAAATTCCCCCCCTTCCAAATATCCTTGTAGCTCCCTAGTGACATCATCCCCAATTATATCCTAGTTTTTTTGAAAGAATAGAGTAGGCATTCCATCCACACCTGGTGCCTTTAAGAGCCCCATTTGTTTCAAAGCTGACCAAATCTCCTCTCTCGTAAAAGGTTTCATAAATTCCTCATTCATTTCCTCTGTTACCTTCCTAGGAACCTAGTCAATAATCTGACTCCCCTGCCTTGGGGGCCTGCCAAGTATAGTTGTTTGTAATATGCAACCAAACATGCTGCCACTCTATCCTGTCCTTCAAATAATTCTCCAGTCGTGTCTCTAAGTTTCCTTATAGTGTTCCTCTCTCTTCTTTCTGAAGCACGACGGTGGAAGTATTTAGTGTTCCTGTCCCCCTCCTTAAGCCACTCAGCTCTAGACCTCTGTTTCCACTTCATCTCCTCAATTTAAAATATCATGTCAAGTTCCTTTTCTAATGCATCCCGCTGCTGAATAAGGGCCTGATTCATTTGGAGCTTACTAATTTTCCCCAGTACCCTCTCGATCTCTTTCCTTCTATATTTAAGGCTTCCAAATGTTACCTTACTCCAATGCTTGAGCTTTTCCTCGCACTCTCGTAGTTTGTCCATAACTGATCCATTCCCATTCCTCTTCCATCCCTCCTCCATTACACTTCTAATGTTGTGATGCTTTTGCCAATAAGCTTCATACCGAAAGGAGTTTCCCCACCGGACTTCTGGTTCTCCCAATTGGGTCTGTAATAGCAAAGGATTGTGGTCTGATCCACACCTATTCAGGTGGTACACTCGAGCCTGAGGGTACAAAGCCACCCAAGGGTTTGTAGCCACCATTCTGTCCAATCTCTCTTCCAGGAAAGTATCATCCTTGTGATTGTTATCCCAAGTAAACCGTCGCCCATAGAATCCTAGGTCTTCCAGGTTATAGTCTTCCAATGCCTTATTGAAAAGCCCTCCATCTCCTGTTCATTAACTTCATATTTCCCATTCTTCTCAGCATAACACTGAACCAAATTGAAATCCCATGTAACTAGCCAGGGCAAATCTGTTAAGTCACTTAACTGTCTTATTAAATTCCACGTGCGATGTTTATTACCTTGTTCTGGCCATCCATAAACCCCAGTTAGCCTCCATTCCTTGCCCTCATCACATATTTTCATGTCAATGTGGTTATTTGAGTATCCCTTAATCTCCCCCTTGATTTATGGTTGCCACAGGACCATTAGGCCCCCTGCTCTTCCTACCGAACCAACACCAAAACCATCCTTCCAACCCAAACTCCTCATTGTTTCCCTCCACTCGTGAGACATTCTTTTTGTTTCCATCAGAATGCTATTTGGGGATTTTGTCTTTGTAACAAAGACCTAACTTTCTTAATTGCCGAGGGATTCCCCAACCCTCGACAATTATAGCTGAGTATGTTCATTGGGCTGGGCGGCTCTGTTCTACAACAGAGTCCGCCAAGTCGCCATCCAAATTATTTTGTCTCCCCTGCTGATCCTTGTCCTGGCCCACCTAAAAATCCAAAACTTTTGCTTTCTTCGGATGTTTTGGAACTTCCAAGTCTATGTCTATATCAACTCCCTGTGTGTCCGCATTCCTCTTCTGTGGAGTGAGTTGAGTTCCTTGTTGATATCTCTTTTTTTTTTGTTCTTGTCTACACCATACATTCCCTGTGTGCCGCCTTGTTATAAGACCCACCCCATTACCCATCTTGAATTTTTGTAGGGCTCCCACCACTGCCGCTTCTTTCTCTTGATTTAACTCCTTTCCTTGTCCCTTTGTAGGAGGAACATTAGCCTCGAGAGGCTTTTGTGGTTTGTTCCCACTGTTATCCTTCATCGAGGTAGCAGCAGGCTGCTCCATCTCCCTTGCATTCCTCTCTCCTCCCATAGCTTCCTCCTTACTGGTTCCTGCAACCTCCTCTCTTGCTAGAGGGGTTCCATTCTCAAAATTAGAACCAGTGCATTCCATCTCAAACTTCTTCTTCAGGATAGCCCAAATTTCGGCATCCTCCTTCTTAGCTGTATGAGACAGCCAATTCCTTGGTCCTGGCACCCCTGTTCGCATCTCTAAACCAAATGGATCCACCTGGAGATTAGACGGTCGTGGGCATCTGAGTTTGGGATAGCCAATTCTGCCACAAGAATGGCAAAATAATGTCAGCTTCTCATATTTAACCATATATTCCACCAGTTCCCCACCAATGTTGAGCTTCAGTTTCTTTTTGAGAGGGTTGTTGATGGAAAGGTTGACTCTTATCCGCATATAATCATCTCACGTTGTACTTGTACTATCATCAAACCAAACAAGATTTCCAAACCGTGTTGCAAGCTTTTCTGCCATTTTTTGAGTTCGCAACTCTGCAGGAAAGCCTCTAATCTGTATCCACATGATAGAAATCTATCATATGCAGATCCTCCGGCGCTGGCTTCTTAATCAAATAACTTGATGCAAAAACGAGAATATTGTTCTCATAATGCCACAGTCCTCCGTAGCGGGCTTTATTTCTCATACTTGGCAGGATGCACATACACTCTTGTACCTTGGTAGTTCTCTACGGACGACTCAATATAATAGGCAAAGTCTACTTTAGTAATACCGAATAAATGGACAGAAGAAAGTAATGGTTGGATGGTTGGAGAACATTTAACAACAACTGGTTAGTTTACAACAGAAAATGTACATATTTTAACGGCCACATTCATTTTGCTAGCTTCAGTCCCAACTTGTTCTTTGGTTAAATCGAAGATTTTACAAGTTTGCTTAGTAAAACACAGGCAGCACCTAACTGGCAATTCCACATACCAAGCGCAGCCCTAAAACTTCCTGTCAAGCATCCGCATATCCAGGATCCTGCAAAGTGTTTCCAGCATCGCAAGATCCGCAGCAAAGCAAGAGTATAATGTATGCAGTTATCAAGAACTAAACAATAGAGCTGAATCTTCGGAAGTGACAGAAGCTGAAAGCTTACCGTTATAAAAGACTGGCCACCAAAAAAGTAAGGTAACCAATCTAATTATGTGTGCAGGTAATTAGCAGCCATCATAAGCTCCAGAGTCAGTTCAGGTTCAATTGGGAACTCGGTTTCCTTGCCACTGGTACAATACAACAAAAGCATGTCAGCATATTCTAAAACAGGACAAACTGGGTGAAGAGACTTGAATATCGGGATGGAATCTGTAGGTCCTTGTTGATGACATTTTTAGTACAGTCCTCATTTAGCGAATTTTAGAACTTCACATTGCGTACCCAGCATCAACTAATGACTACACCATGTCCACTTCAAATAATAACAGTATATAAACACAATCAGATTGTGTAAGTGATAAGCAAAAGAAAAAGAAAACTGCTCGAAAAGTTAGTAAAAAAGATATCAGAATAGGAAGCAGAACTACAATCTACATTGGTGCCTGCCATCTTAAAACTTCACATCGCCGTCAATGACCAACTGAAGTAGGGTGAAAGCACAGGGAAACTAGAGAAACATGCAAAATCAGCAAATCAGTTAACATCTTATTATACATCCCTGAAACCACATGCACACAAATTAACATCAAACTGATTGAAAGCTCATGAAATGAAGAGAATAGGCTTATTGAGTCTAGACAAGTAAGCAGCACTAGTAACTGATAAGAGTAACGATCCTGTGAAGTACTGACTTACGACCCTAGAGCCATGCTGTTCTTAATCAAAGATAAAAAAACACCCAGAAGACGAAACCACTGCTGACGGTATTTTAATAACGAGTATGCAGTACCCCATCATCAAGTAAGCAGAAGTAAGGAAAAGCCAGTTCTGAAGTAAGCCATTGGCTTCAGAAAAACAAGAACATGCTTAGTCATCAGCCAGATGGTTTGCTGAATGATTGTAAACTCTAATATGGACGACTTCAACGCTGGCAAACCAAACTAAATGTTCATGTTGGAACGAACTTGAGAGAAGAAAGGGACGATTTTGAAAGAAACAACAAAATGCAAGATGGGGTTATAAAAAGGGGAGAAGTAAGCCGCACCTAGCATACTGAAGAGACCAGTGGAAATACTGGCAGATTTTCTCCAGAATCGTGGTGCTTATCTCGGGGAAAGTCACCTCCCCATGTTGTGCCTCAGCAAAACTCCCTACAAATTGAAATGAAAAGCGATCAACTTTACCACAGAACAGACGCAGGCTATCAAAGAATTTAGCCAACCCACCATCCCCCATCTGTAACGCACTAGATCGGTATCACCGATCAACTCAATTGAATACAAGCCGCCAACTTCTGTTTCGAAAACGACGAGCCCAGATCAACAAATCCCACATTGGAATTCTCACGAATCCATTCCACTTTGGAAACCCTCGAGAGCTAAGAGAACGGGGGCAGACAGAGAGAGAGAGACGGACCTGGAGAGGTGAGCATGTTGCGAATTGTCTGCGAAACCATGGCGGCTTCCTTGTTGATCACGAACTCGAACCCCTCGGCGCTGATAAGCTTGACCGTGTCTTCTTTCCGCATCTCTGTCATCCGTTTTTCTTTTCCTCTTCTCTCTCTTTCTCTGGTGGTCTTCCTCCCTTTTCCTTCTTCCGGGAACAGAAAATAAAACTTATTCCACGAGTGCGATCAGAGACGATTAAACCGCCGAGAGAAGAGCTTGTCGTTCCCAATACAGGGCTAAGTTAATTACATTTGGTTTATATTTGGGCCTGGGCTTGGGCCTAATGGTTCTTACTTCTGACTAAGGAGTCCAGCTATATCTGGGAAATGTATGGATCACCAACCAAACCTTAATGAGCTGGGATTGGGCTCCAAACCCGCCCAACCTAGCTATTGCCATGCCAGCCCCTCCCTTTCAAGTAAGAAAAGTCATCACTGGTCGAAGAGGTTGCCGGTCAATAGTGCACAACGTTCAAAATTAATGTCCAGACCTAATGTTGATAGAAAGCATCAATGCTTATAAACATGTTAGTTCAACTCTTGATTGTTTCCCGCTTCAGTTGATGTGATCATTAATTAAAATTGATTCGTGGTTGCTTGTGTATTTGATTTTTTGTTAACCTATCTTGATTCTGAGCCAGGGAGAAAAACGTGCCACACACTTTCGGGTCTACTACCTCTTGCAAGGTTATCAGGTTGGAGGTCCATTTGCATCGTTTTTCTCTTTGATTTGCAAATCTTAGCCTGATCCTACCTTTAAAATTATAAGTTGAACATTTGAATATTGATGTTATGTAAGTATGTGTGAATTTTCACTATATGTTGAATACAAGTACGCCCTGTTATTTTGGTGTAATGTTATTACTCATATGTTAAATGAGATTTGATATAAGGCAAAATTCATCTGTATAACCAAAACTTTGACGTTTGTGACAATAATAGCCACTTTTAGAGAAATACCAACAATAGCCAAAATTTTGAAAGTTCGATGACAAATATAGCCATTTTCGTTACATAATTTAATGGCGTGAGTGACACCATTCGTTATATTAACGGAAATTTTACATGGCTACCAACACACCCTCTCTTTCTTTTACATCTCAGCATTCAGTGACAGGTGGATGACACGTCATTAAAAAAAACTCATATCCTCGTCTTCCCAATTTTCTTTCTCCTTATTTTTTCAGAAAAGCCCCTTCCTCCTACCTGGTACGTCTCCCAAATCCCCAAAAAAACTCACGACCTTCTTCGTCTCTCTCTCAGATCGCTATTTCCCTTCTGCCGATCCAAATCTCGATTCTAGATTCAATCAGCCTTCGCAATTGCTCGCTTGCCGGGAAACCCTCGCTCACTTTGCTTCAAAGGCTTCCGCACCTGCTGCGAATCCGAATCAACCCGGCGCCTGCAGAGTAGGTGGCGGAGGATTAGGTAGTGGAGGCAGTGGTGGGTTTAACATCATAGCCCCACCACCACCGTCTCGGCTGTTACAGAGTGGACTAAGCGGCGAGCTGGGGCAGCTGTTTCTGTCGCCGCCGGAGGAGCCCTATGCCAAATCTCTAGTCGCAGAACCGAATCGCATAGTCGACTTCTCCTCGACGACGATTGGTGTTGTGAGGTTCCCATTTTCGATTATTCTGGGTTGTTCTAGAGTGTGGCTGCCCTCCTCCACGGAGGGAAGTGCATCCCTTTCTTCTTCAAGCTCTGCCTCCCCGCCTCTGCCACGATCGACACGATCGGGCCCAGCCGGTCCGCTTTCCACACGAAAATGTGCAACAGTGATTGGAGCACAAATTTGTAAGCACTGGTCGATCTTTCTCAAATCGCCCCAACGCCCAGCTTCAGACCCGCGCGAATCCGCTTCCACCAGACGCCCAACTTCCTCCCTCTCTGACTTTCACCATTTCTCCCCTTATCATAACCATAGCTCCATCCCTTCAATGGCGGTTCCCCAACACTAGCCTCTGTGAATCTTCTACAATAGACAGATCAGGAAGACTCCCAAACCCACAAAGAGAAATTTTCCAGAACCCTTCTTTTCTATTTCAGTCGACCAAGAAGACCCCCAAACCCAAATCTCAGTGGAGATTGCACAGAGAGCAACTCCATATTCGTAGGTGAGGGGGGAGAGAAAAAGAAGACGAGTAATCGGGGGGCAAATAGAAGCGATTTTTTTCCAGCAATGACTTCTTCCCAACTCGTCTGCGACTGCTCCATCTTCTGATGCTTTTGGATCCGTCGTTCTTGTTCGTCTGAAACTGGTTCCCTCATCTGCGGTGAACCTCAAAATTGGGGATTAGAGAGAAGTGGGTGGGATGGCTGAAGATGGTGTGGCAGACTGGTAGTGAAGTCGGAGTTGGTGTTGGTGGAGGTAGAGATGATTGATGATGGCTAGGGGTGTAAGTTTGATCCTAAAAACCCACTGACCCGACCCGACCCGTCAGGTCCCTGAGGGTCGGGACGGGTCAGTTTGTCTATAGAGTCAGTTTAGGGACGGGTCAGCTTTTGACCCTATAAGGGTGGGGACGGGTAACTTTTTGACCCTGTGACCCTTAGCAACAACAAATATCCCATACCACATTGGACCTCTTTGTAAAAGTTTTCAAAGTTTAGGTACTAAATTGCAAAAAATAAAAAAATTTGGGTACAAAAATGTAATTTTACCACCAAAATTTATGGACTTATTTGTAAAAAAAAATAAATTTTAGGTACTAAATTGTAAGAAAAAATAGTTTTGGGTACCAAAACATAATTTATAAAAACAGTAGTGTGCAAATTAGGGTCGACCCATTGACCCAGCCCGTCCCGACCCGTCCCATTCCTTGAGGGTCAGACAGGGTCAAGAAGGAGACAGGGACGAGATAGTTATACTTATACATCTTGACCCTTCAGGGACGGGTAAGACGAGGTCAGAGACGGGTCAGGGCAATTTTCAGCCCTAAAAATTGGTGGCAGAGGCAGAGATGATTTTGGACTGAAGGCGATGATGTTTGTGGTATTGGTGGTGGGAGGATTTGTCGGCGGAGAAGAGCTCTTCGCCTCCTCTTAACACTCATTGATTTTGTTTTTGTTTAAATCCACGTGGGTAATACGCACGTGACGAAAATTGCTAGATCGGACAATCCGTTAGTATAGTTAGCACGTTAACTCACACAGTCAAAGAATTGGACGAAAGCAGATATTTTTGATATTTCGTCAAAAATGGCTATATTTGGCCAAACCGTCAAAATTTTGACTATACAGGTGTATTTTGGCTTGATATATAATGAATAAATATATGAAGATCATAATAACTTTTTTCATATATCCAAACTAAAATGATGGAACCATTAACTCTCAAACCACTTACTCGATGGTACCAACGAGCTAAAATGGTTCGACAATCTTATTCACGACAAACCCAACGAAATATTGAGCATTGGTTAACGAGGGTCGTGTGAAGTGCGTGGAAAACCGCAATTCTGACCTCCACAGCCAAACCAACATCCAACCGGCCACTGGCAGTGCCAGGCTGCCACCACCGTCGGTTTGCCATCTCATCGTCTGCTGTCGTTTTCAGCCTTTTCTTGTCGTCCTCCTCTGACCAACCTATCCCACCCATCATCACGACGTCGTCTTCATAACCCTCCCTCCCCAACCACGCGCAGAAGAAGAAGGCAGAATCTCCCCCTCTACCCAACTCCCCGTATTTATTGGCCGTTTCAAAATCATTTCCCACACCCTTCTTTCCGTTTTCTACTTTTCTCCTCCGCTCGACTCCACTCCACAGAAAGGAAAGGAAAAAGGGGAAGAAATCGGAGAAAGCGAATATTGAACAGAGCATCGAGTCCACCGAGATTTCGATTCGCGCTCGCCGGAGAATTCCATTTTCCCCGTCTTCCAATCCCAAGTAGACAAGTCCATTCTCTTCTCGATCTGTTCGCCCCTCGGGTAAGTCGTTGTCATCTTCCCTTTTCTCTCTCGGGAACTTTCTTTTTCAGATCTGTATGCTTAGCGAGCTTGTTGGAACTCGCGATTAATCTGTTGATGGATCTCGCAGGTTCGAGAGATCTGAGAGGAGGGAATTGGAGATACACAGAGTAAGAGTAGCAGTAGTATTATTTGTTGACGGAAAAGGAAACCATGGCGCATAAGGTAGATCACGAGTACGATTACCTCTTCAAGATTGTGCTGATCGGAGACTCCGGCGTCGGTAAATCCAACATTCTTTCCCGCTTCACCAGAAACGAATTCTGCTTGGAGTCCAAATCCACTATCGGCGTCGAGTTCGCCACCAGAACTTTGCAGGTCAGAAATCTTCTTTTTCTCTCTCACACAGTCACTCTCCCGCTCTCCCTGTTTTGTTGTCTCGATCGATCTAGTTGGGTTGGTTTTCGCTTGAAATTGTGTGGGATCTTGAACTCTTGTGTTCTTACTCCTTGTACTGAATGCGCGCAAGTGTTAAACTGTTTTACTTCTTACTTATGGCTCTGCGCCTTGCCGTGATGGTGAAATGTTGATTGCTAAGTATGATATCCTTTTGTCTGCTGTATTATCCTGGAAAATCCTACTGCTGCATCCCTACTTGGCAGTTCATCATCGGTTTTGTCAAGTTAATTGATGCACGAAGTAAGCTTCGTTTACCGAGTTTGTGTCTACTTCTTGGTGCATACTTGATAATCTCTTTCGTGAATGCAATATGCTGATGCCCATAAAAAGAGTATGTAGTTGTGCTGATCAGACCGTGCGTGCTAATTAAGCATAAGGGTTACCAGTGATGCTTAGGAGAAAAGGAGTGTAATGCTTGAACTGGCTTCTGTAGATGGCTTAATCAGTGCAAGTATCAATGTACACCAGCAGTTTAGTTTCTGGTTGAAGAGCTAGCCTGCTGAACTGGGATGCAATGTGATATAAGTTTAAGCATAAGCACCATCGGTCCTAAATGTTATCTGCTGTGTTGGTGTAGGTGGAAGGAAAGACTGTAAAGGCTCAGATTTGGGATACAGCAGGCCAGGAGAGGTACCGAGCGATCACAAGTGCTTACTACAGAGGGGCAGTTGGTGCACTCCTTGTCTATGACATTACCAAGAGGCAAACGTTTGACAATGTCCTACGGTGGCTACGCGAGTTGAGAGACCATGCAGATTCCAACATTGTCATAATGATGGCTGGAAACAAGTCCGACTTGAATCACCTGAGGGCTGTTTCAGATGGAGACGGACATACCTTGGCCGAGAGAGAAGGTCTCTCATTCCTCGAGACGTCAGCACTTGAAGCAACGAATATCGAGAAGGCATTCCAGACGATACTGACAGAGATATACCATATCATAAGCAAAAAGGCTTTGGCTGCCCAGGAAGCCGCTGCTAATTCTTCCATTCCTGGCCAAGGAACCACCATCAATGTTGCAGATGGCTCAGGCAATGTCAAGAAAGGAGGTTGCTGCTCTGCCTAAGGAGCCCGTGTCATGTACTGACTGACCAATGGGTAGAAAGCACTATCGGCAAGCAACCATTCTTCCTTCCTTTGTTTTTCATTTCTTTTGGGTTTTCATTTAGCAATTTTTGGCCAAGAGGAGACCTGTAGATTACTCTCTGTTCCCCGTTAATTGAGAATGTGAAATTTGCAAAGATGCTATGGTTAGATTTCAGAGTGGCCTTTTCCTTTTCTTCTTATTTCTTTGTATTTTACACTTTCAAACAAAGCTTGGATATGATGATAGCACGGATGTAGAGTGACCACACATTATCTCAGTTGAGACTTTTTGAGACACACAGTGCCTAAAAGCAGAGAAATTCGTTTTCCTTTCGCTGATCTTGTAAACCAGTCATTTTACAGTGCAAGCTTAGGCCACTAACTACCACAATGAGTTACAGTGTTGTCCATTATCGTTTGCCATTCCACAATTGGTTATTTGGTGCATCTGCTCGGCTGCCATCAAAGGTGGAAGTCCACTAGCCAAAAGGCATGCGAGCCATACAGTACACCCTGGGCCCCTGGCAGTGACAAATGAAACAGGCAGTTGAAGTCTGGTGAGAATCGAATAAGCAGAGCACCAACCACGCAATTTGCTGTTGTGCTCACAAGAGGTGTACATAGGTCAGGTGTTCGGATTTAGTCGTTTTCATATGTTCATTCATACACCTCAGTTTTAAAAATATTAAATCTAAACTCATCCAATAAACATTTAACAAGAGGTGTAATACAAGTTGGTTCGGTATCTACAAGTTGCATCACCCAAAATTCGACTGAGTTCTACAAAAGTAAACTCCCACCCAATTTCAAAATTTAATTTTAGCGGTAAATTTGACTGGATTGGATTGGACGGGTGAATCTAGTAACGGATCATTTTGGTCACCCCTAGTGCTCACAGGTGCCCGTAGCGCCCTGCGTTCGCCCTAATCTGACGGACCCAAGGTGTTATGAACACATTCTCACATACTCTCTATGAACAACATATCCGGGTTGTCAAACCACTTCTGCAGCTATATACATACACTGATCCAAATTCAAATGATTGAGGAAATCAAACAGCTCCTTCCCTTGGCCGCAATCAAAACCTTGTGTCAATGGGCTATGTAAAGCCAAACGATAAAAAAATGTTTTACAGGTTGTTTCCTTAGACCTCAATTTGGATTGTACAATGACAAATGCCATACATTTTCTCACAGTGATCCTTAATCCTATTGACCATCTCCCTGGCGCTAGCTTCTGGCTCGGCTATCACATGGCAAGTCAGGACCCGCTTACCGACTGTCATAGACCAGACGTGGATGTCGTGGATTTCTCGAACTCCTCTGATGCACTTCAGATCATTCTCCAGTCTGACTAGGTTTATGTCGCGTGGGGTCCTCTCCATAAGTATGTTGAAGATATCCATGAGCATGGGCAATGTTGTGAACAGTACAAACGTGGAGAACACCAGGGTGCAGATAAGATCAACAATCAACCACTCTGGCTTCGCCCATATGACTGCTCCGGCGATCATTACTCCAACAGACTGGATTAGATCAGCCATTACATGAAGATAAGCACCCTGGATGTTGATGTTCAGCAACTTGGCCTTTTTTGGAGACCCTAATACCAGGTCCAACTCTGACTCTTCTACCTGGTTTTCTTTTCTAGCAGGCAAATGGTCCTTGTTATGATCATGAATGTGATGGTGATGATTATGATCATGACTATGACCATGATCGTGGGCGTGACCGTGACCGTGAGCATGATCGTGACCAAGCCATATGACCATAATCAAGTTGATTATGAACCCAAATGCAGCAATCCCAAACATGAGTCCACCCTTGACTTCTGCTTGCTTGTGAAGGATTCTGTTCACTGCCTCGTAGATTAGGACTCCAGAGATGAGCCAGATGAGTTGTACGGAGAGCAGGGCCCCAAGGACCTCAAGGCGACTGAACCCGAAAGACTGGTCTGAAGTGGTTTTCCAACCCGAAGCCCACACTGTGAAGAGCGATACAGCAAAGCCAGCTACGTCGGTGAGCAAATGTGCTGCATCTGTGATAACTGCAAGGCTGTTGGCCCTTACACCACCAATAATCTCAACTGTCATAACCATCAAGTAGAAAATCACCAGCCAAGATAGTTTCACAGCTGACTTGGATCTATCCTCTAATTCATGAACATCATCTACATGTTTGGAGAAGGCACAAACGCATCCGCTGGATGGTCTGGAATCCACATCAGAGATGGTCTTTTCGTCGGGAGGGATGGCCATCTCTATATCCTTCTGGCTGTCCGAACTCAAGATGGGGATTTCATTATATCCCTCCATCACCCTGGGATGATCAACCGATTGCCAGCAAAAAGGATCAGAGATAACTCAATCCAGAGAAACAAAACAACTAAAGTATATACTCATCCTTCTGAAGAACCCTGCAAAATCTGTTAGGAGGCAAAAATCTGGAGGAATGGCTTTTCTAACTCAATAACTAAACAGAACGAATACTCAGAAAGAAACTAAAACGATGCATGATAATAGAGTACAATTAACAAGCTATTTGCGTTCCAATCGTCTCATAATATTAAACGAACGAGAATATTCAAATTTATAGGCCTGAAATCCTTCCCTTTTCATCCTTGGTTCAGCCCTCTCTGTCCCTTTTCCTACCCAAAATATAAATACTTCTCCTGGAAACTATAATCTAATACCTCTCTCTCCTAAGTAACTCGGTTGGGTTCTACAAATCCCCATTCTGGGTCTCATTCATCTAAACGACCCACATAATCAAAATTGCCTAAACCTCTTTCATGTTAATGCATATTATATAGAAACTGAAGGATCATGAGTAAATCACGACCCAGAACAACCGTTTCCTTATGATTGACAATCGTCTACTATTCACACAAGTTGTGGCACAGGGAATCAATGAAGCAGGTCGCTGGGACGTGCAAGAACAAGTAGAAATGCGAAAGGGAAAAAATAACCTACGAAACTAAACGGTACCGAGCTGTTAATCGAGTGGAGCGGAAGGAATTGAAGGGTTGACCTCGAATTGACCGGCGGAAGAATGAAACGTGGTTCCTCACTCAGCTGGAGAAAGGGGTGTGGATTGTAAAGACGGGAAAGGATTCACACAAAGGACTGAGACACCCGAGCTTCATAAATCGGAGGATGGTATGGACTATGGAGTAGTGCAGGATGAAACGGCAGGGCCGGCAATCCGTGGAGGCGGAGGAATTGCCGAATTGAAGGGGGACGAATTTGTGTGGCCGTTTAACTTTGCCAGTCCGCCTACTACTACCAGCGACTTCATTCGTACTTTGATTCTTTCTAAGTTGACGGCCAAGTTTGGCTTGGCATTTGGCAACGCTACATCACGAAAGCCAACTAACGGTGTTTATTATTATTATTATTATTATTATTATTATTATTATTATTATACCGTGAAGAAGGAGAACAAATGCAACATATGTGTAACACACTAACCCGGTCGGGAACTACTTTTATCGAAATACTTGTGATATTAAATGAATATAAAGTGCTTTGAACAACAGCGAAAACGTTACATATTAAGCAACATTGAAAACATAAATAACCTCGAAACATTTGGCTTAATACACGTTCATCGTAAAATCGCATCAAGTCTCATGTCCCATCAAGTACTGAACTTAACTTCTTTCTTCTGGAGTCCATCAAAGCCAAGCGTCTTCACGATGAACCGGTGAGAGTGAGTCCATATGCGAGCTTATGTGTTTCTATGATTCCTGAATGCGAGCATTGGGATCAGTCCTAATCCTAACTCCATTCTTGACAAAATATATAAAATGAACCAACACGCATAATGAGTGCAAATGCTCATGTAATGCTCGTGCACGAAAATGTTCACTTGACTTGTAAATGATTTTCTTGAAACATATATTCTTTACGAAAGGGGCCCCCGGGCTCGACTTAACTAGCACACCACCACGATCACCAACATACTTAAACATGATCTTATTACCTAGGAGTAGGGTTCGTAACCTCCTTATTACCCAGGAGTGGGATTAATAACCTCCTTTTTACCCAGGAGTAGGGTTCGTAACCTCTTTAATCATAACATGTGGTGACCGCGTGCGGCTAACTAAGTGAGGGTTAAAACATGATCTTGCTTACTTACTGAATCTGCTTGCTTGACATGATGATCATCCACTCAATGGGAGATCCAAGCTTATGACTTGATTAACTTATAAAATCATGTTTCCTTCAAAAGTAACTTGTCTTGCTTGAAACATATGCTATCCATGAACGCATGCTCGTGCTATGTATGTTTAAAGCGTAACTTGTATTGTCTTGTTGAAAACATAACCTTGTGATGCAATGCCATGCAATGCTTGCTGAAATGAACATAATTCATAAACTTAAACATGAATCTCATAAACACATGACTCTAACATAAATAGCATATAAGAACATATCAACAAGTATCATTGTAATAAATAACTCAGAATGGAATAATAACTAATGCTCCCTCAAACCACACACCTTATTTGGTCGCGAGTAGTTCAAAAATTCTATCGTCTCCACTCAACGAGGTGATTTGCCCTGGTGAACCTATAGTGAAAACCAAGGTTAGATCAGTTGGATTTTGGGTTCTTAGCGACAGGTTTATCGATTTGGACTACTTTGCAATATGTGCAAAGTATAGGGGCTTGCTAAACTCTTCGTCTGGAGAGTGCCTGTGTCTCTTCACTGTCCCCTCAGTGTGACGCTTCCTCTTCCCACCTTCTTGGAAGACTTCAGCGATTCTGATCTTGTTCCCCTACCCTAATCTCTGTTTCTCTTTTGGGTTGGGATCCCTTCTTCTTGTCATTTTCCTTCTCTGGCTTTTGCTTTGTCGATTGTGCAGCGTCTGTGTCCTGCTTCGAGCCTTCCTGGTTTTTTGTTTTCAGTCCCTGTTTATCAATGGAACAAGATATTGTTCAGAAGCTGTCCAGTATCGAGCTAACAGAAGATGAAGAAACCATCATTAGTTTGGAAGAAGCTACTGAAACAGAAGGAGTGGAGGAGGCTATCAAAGAACTAGGAGTGGTGGGGAAACTGGTATCAGGAAAACCCCCTCCGGTGAATATTGTCAAAAGGATTCTTGGAGGTGTCTGGAAACTCAAGAGGGAGTTTGACATCCTAATAAACCGAGACAATGTGTTCAGGCTACAATTCTACTGTCATGACGATAAGAATAAAGTGCTGTATGGGGGACCGTGGCATCTGGAACGTCAACTTCTCATGTTTAAGGAGATCCCTCCCGATCTGGATCTAAAGAAAACGGAATTCACCGAAACTGAGTTCTGGGTCCGGATCCGCGAACTTCCGATAAAGTTGAGAAATGAGCAAATGGCTAATACTATAGGAAGAATGTTTGGTGGCTTCATCCGTTGGGATGAACTGCATTCTGGAGTCAACAGCGAGTATATGAGGTTGAGGGTTGCCTTCTCGATCCTAAAACCGCTCAGAAGGGTTATTAAACTTCAAGGTAAAGAAGGGCCGATCTCCTACAAGGTGGGCTATGAAAGGTTGCCAATTTACTGTTTCAGATGTGGATTGTTGGGACACCTCAAAAAGTCCTGTCCTAAGAATCTGGAAACCAATGATGAGACAGACGATCCTTATGGGCCCTGGCTAAGGGCAGAATCACCCTTAAGAAAAGTTCCGCTGAAGGAAAAAGAAAAAGCTAAAAGATTGTCTAGGCTATGGGAGGAAGTGAGGGCGGAAAGGAAGGGCAGTATTGAAGAGGGAGGACAGCATGGTCCCATTGCGAGGCAGGAGCTTTCTACCCACAAAGAATTAGAGACTGACCTGCAAGTTCTTAGTGTCCAGGACAAAGATGAAGGCAGTTTAAATACTCTCCTGTTAGAGAAAGCGGACGAGGACGACAGGACCAAAACAACAGAGAATGCCCCTTTAGAACTGCAAATATTGGAAGTTAATGTGGAAGATGAGGGTCAAGTAGTAGCCCCCGGGAAAGAAGTCTGCCTGACGAAGAGTAAAGGAAACAGAACATGGAAGAGAAAGGAGAGACTCAGAGAAGGAATCTCTCAACAGATAGAATGGGCAGCAATGAGTGGAAAACGGGATTCTTATGATGATATGGAAGTGGATGAAGTTGGCTCTCAAGAAAAGAAAGTCAGATTTTTTGCAACCCCCCTAAAGGATGGCGAAGTGGCGGCCCTTGCCGAGGAGCAAGGCCGCCGAGCCCAATGAAGATACTAAGCTACAACTGCCGAGGTTTGGGCAGCACCTCGGCAGTTGGAAAGCTTAAAAGGCTGGTCAGGAAATATCAACCAGATGTTCTCTTTCTGATGGAGACAAGGAAAGACGAGGCAGGGTGGAAGAATGTAAGACAGTCTCTGGGATTCTATGATGGTTATGGGGTGGCGGCTAGAAATGATAAGGGATGGAAGGCTGGAGGGGTGTGTCTTTTCTGGACTGAGGAGGTAAATGTTTGTTATCTGTCTTCTTCTTTGCACCATATTGATACAATAATCAGACATGAGTCGGAGGACCTCCAATGGAGGCTCACTGGTTTCTATGGATGGGCTGAAAAGAATGAGAGATTCAAATCCTGGGAACTATTAAGAGATCTTCGTGATGTTAATAACTTGCCTTGGGTTTGCATTGGGGATTTTAATCAAGTGGTGGCAGGGCAGGAGAAAAGTGGAGGAAGAATGATAAATGAAAGCCAAGCTACTGAGTTCAGGGAGTCTTTGGAATTCTGTGGCTTATTGGATTGTGGTTATGAAGGATACCCATTCACCTGGGATAATAGCCGTTCGAGTTCTGAATTCATAGAAGAGAGGCTTGATAGATGCGTGGCAAATTGGGATTGGAAACTAAATTATCCTAAGCATCAGCTTTTCCACCTCGATCGCTGCGGATCGGATCACTGCCCTATTATGCTTTATACTGCTGGAAGGGAGGAGGAGGAAATCAAATGGGGCTGGTACTTTCGAACGGAAGCTTTCTGGCTTGAAGATCCAGAGTGTGCGGAAATTGTTAAGAAGGCCAGCGAGGAAAACCCGAATGAAGAACTTATTACTATTCTGAAGAAGTGCAGATCAGAGTTATTGGCTTGGAGTAAGAGGAAATTTGGTGATCTCAGAAGAAAGATTGATAAAATTGATAGTGCCCTGAAGAGTTTCAAATACAAACCTAAATCGGCGGTGTTTCTGGAACAGAGAAGGAAACTTGAAGAGGAGAGGACGGAGCTGATCTATCAAGAAGAACTCTTATGGAAGCAACGATCGCGGATCGACTGGCTCAAAGGGGGGGATAAAAACACGAAGTTCTTCCATTCTAAGGCGACGGCCAGGAGGAAAAGGAATACGATTAAAATGTTAAGAGATGAAAGAGGCAGAATTTACAAAGGGCAACAGGAGGTCTCTAGATGCCTTGTTGACTACTACAAACAGCTATTCACTAAAGGCAACCCCCCAGACAGAGACTATGTTATTCAAGCTATGAAGAGGAAGGTGACCGCGGAGATGAATAGATCACTTCTTATACCTCTACGAGATGACGAAGTAAAGGATGCTCTGGACCAGATGGGTCCAAACAAAGCACCAGGTCCTGACGGCTTCGCTGCGGGCTTCTTTCGGAAAAATTGGGGGCTGGTGGGCTCCAAAAAAATTAAGGCTGTCCAGACCTTCTTTTCCAATGGAGAGCTTCCCCTGGAATCAAACCATACTCTAATCGCTCTTATCCCCAAGGTAAAAACACCCTCTTGTGCTAAAGATTTTCGGCCTATAAGCCTCTGTTGTGTTATTTATAAAGTTATTTCAAAGGTTTTGGCAAATAGGCTAAAAGGAATCTTGGATGACATCATTTCGGAAGAGCAAAGCGCTTTTGTGCCTGGCAGAAGTATTACTGATAATGTTATTGTGGCTTTTGAATGCTTCCAGTTCATGAAACAAAGGGACCGCGGAAAAGATGGTTTTTTTGCAGCAAAACTCGATATGGCCAAGGCCTACGATCGAGTAGAGTGGAGTTTTCTTGAGAATGCTATGGGAAAGCTGGGGTTTGAGCAGAGATGGATTGATCTCATCATGAAATGTGTTACGACAGTCTCCTATTCTGTGTTAGTAAATGGCCACAAGACTGAAGTTTTCAAACCTACGAGGGGTCTCAGACAAGGGGACCCTCTATCCCCCTACTTATTTCTGATCTGTGCTGAAGGCTTGTCAGCTATGATTAAAAAGGCTGAGGCAGAAGGGAATTTACATGGGGTTCAAGTCAGGAAAAAGGCTCCAGCGGTCTCCCATCTGTTGTTCGCGGATGACAGTATCATTTTTGGAAAGGCAAC